GAAGGACATGATTCCCAGAAAGGGACCAGCAGCACAGAGGGGAAAGGGGGCTGTGGCACTTGGGGGCTGAGGACCAGCCTAGTCTGCAGTACAGAAAGTTGCCATCGATGTGCAGGTTCTACTGCCAAAGCTGCAAGTAGAAGGTGGTGAGAACTGAAGCAATGGATGCAGGGAGCGTGTTTTGTCCTGAAGCTGACAGTAACAGGTGGTTTAAGGGTAGTAACCAAATGGTTTAGGGGGAACTGTGCCTTAAAGAAGATGCCTTTACAGGAAAAAGGACACATCTCAGGTAAGGACCCTGAAAGGAGGCAAAATAAAGCCTTGGCTTGTGCATTTGGAATATGATGGCCAAACAGTTGTAGGATGCACCAATAAGGAGGTGGAGAAAGGATGATGCAGGCTGAACAACAGGGAAGAGACCAGGCTTGCAGGTAGATGAAGGTCAAAACAGAAATGCTTTAAAGAGGGGATGGCAGCCCACAGCTGCAAAGCCCACAGTGAACCAAGGAAGAGGAATGCTTACAGGAAATAAGGCAAATGAAACAAAGCAGGGCAGAGGTCGATGATGTGTCCACCGGGACAAAAGCGGGGAAAGAGACCTGCCTTTGTGCAGCAGGAGCCTTGCCACTTTGCAAAAGTATGAAGGCCTGGTAAGAGGACAAACCCAGCTGGACTAGGATTCCTCAAGAGATGGGGAAGATGCATTTGGAAAGAGAAAGACACTGCCAGCTGAAAAAAAAGCAGCTAGTTGCACTGCTTGCATGGCAGGGAAGTTAGAAGCAGAAGCCGTGGTGAAACTGAAAAACAGAGACCTTGGAAAATTGGAAATCAAAATAGTGTGGGGAGTACCAAACTGCAATCCTGCACAACTGCTAGCTGTCTCTGAGCTGCACAGGCAAACAACAAAGCAGGAGTCTGCAGTGTCCCCATGGGACAAGCAACTAGGCTTGGGTTCCCCTGGACCAGGCTTCTGGCCTAGTCAGGAAGGTGCTTGTCACATGGGCTGGTCAGATTAACAATCAGGAGCCAAGTCAAGCTATGAAGAGGTGTTCTCAGGAGAAGGGTGCCTTCTGGAGTCATGCCAGGCCCCAGGCCAGGAAGCTGCAGTCTGAAGTGTTGAGTGAAAGAGAGGAGATAAAACTGCTGGGGGTGAATGCAGACAGCCACGTGTATAGAACAAGGCAGGTCAGTCGGCTCTCGTGTTCCTGAGAGACCATCATGAGAAAGGGGAATGGACTCAGACTTCTCAGCCCCCCCCAGAGCTGCACATCACTGCTCACAGGAAGCACTTCGGCTTGCCAATGAGGAACAACGTGTCCGCTGAGAAGGCAGGAGGCCAGATTCTCCAGCAAGGTCAGTGCAGGGCTAGGCCTTGGCAGAGTTGTCTGAACACAGGAAGATCCAAGTGTTGTGCTGTCAAAACAGCATTTGGCAGGTACTGCTCCTTGCAACTGCCTCTCAGAAAACATTCAGCTGCTCAAGCATTTCAACCCACAACGCTCCAGCTTCCTGACAGTCTCACAGGGGTAAAGATGCACAGCAATGCCAATGGTCTGGAACAGCACCATGACATCAGGAACAAGGGGAGAGTAATCAGGAATGTCAACAACATGGTGTCAGTTTTGAATGGCTAAAATCACATTTTTAGGTAGAAATAGGCTAGCCAGGGAGCAGTGATTCTGAGCACAAAGCAATTCCTGGAATGCACAGACCCAAAGATGAAGAATTGTAAAGGCTGTGAAACATCCTAACTAATATTGGTAAAGTAACACTCATTTGTGCATCTCAAGCAACAATAAGGAAACTCCTTCATCAAGGTCCAGAGCTGGGATGGATGCCAGTGAATAGGAGTGGTCATGGAGCTGAAACATGTACTGGGCTGCAAATATTAGGGCTGCAAATTGCTGATCCTCTGGAAGAGATTAGCAGCTTCACAGGTGCTTCTAAAGGAGGCCTGGGAGCTGTATTGCTACAGAGACGCTGGGATGGATATGTGCTGTGAGAACTGGAATGATGGCAGAAGGGAAGAGGTACGCACAGACTGAATAAGAGCAGGGCCCCAGGTAGGGCTATATAGAGCCCAATGATCTGGTTGTAGCTTCAAGGATGAGGCCTCTAATGATAACCCCCACAAGAAGTCCCAAGGAAACATCACTCAGGACTTAAATTATTTTGAAAGCATGAAATGACCCTGGCGTTCCAGCCAGGACTTTACCCAGTAATAGTAGACACAACTCTCCAGAGCAATGACACACCACCAGGTGCTCTGGACCCAGCTGAGATATGAAGATAAGGAAACACCACCTGGAACAGTAACACAAAATAATGGATGGAGAAAACAACAACTCGGCACCTGCACATCCCTCGGCCTCTCCTCTGTGGGCCAGGATTTCTAGCCAGATACCTCCTCCCATGGTCTACCACAGCCAGGGGCTTTCATGAGGCACAGCCTTCTGTCTCTGGGAAGGGAAGAACAGTACATCATGTGAGACCTAGACTGAGTATGGAGCATGGCCTAGAGAGGAGAATGGGAGTATGAGGAACTTCTGTATGATTTCCACATTAACATTTTTATGAAGTCTCTGTGCTGAGTTTTTCTTGGTTACTGACCTTTCACAGGAAACAAGTAGGGGAAGACAACCCCCATATCCAGTCAGCACAGAAGTGTGGCTCTGGATCTTGTTCCCATGCTGCCTCTCCCCCACAGCCTGTAAACCTTTGAAAGGCTATCTTGCTGTCCTACCTTGGTGAGATCCAACAAGTGATATGGGCTCAGAAGGTCATCGGGTGACTTGGATGAAATCCAGAGACCGGGTTCAAGGTGACAGAGGAATTTAAACTACGGTTGTGATAAGCTAGGAGACTAAACCAGTTTCAGGTAAGCAAAAGTCAAGAGACTGCAGAGGGGTCAAGAGGCTTTACCCAAACACCCAACTGCTGTCTGGGGCTTGCCTCTAGAGGCTGGAGCAAGTGAGCCCTGTTTCCCAAAGTTCAGGGGATTGGTTGCCCTGATCTACCAAGCTCAGGGGAGTAGTAGATACACTGGAGGGTAAGGCTAGGATTCAGAGACCTCAACAAATTGGAGTGGGCCAAAAAAAATCTCATGAGGTTCAATAAGGAGAAGGACAAAGTCCTGCCCTTAGGACAGAACCATCTCATGCACTGGTACAGGCTGGAGACCAACTGGCAAAGCAGCAGCTCTGCAGAAAAGGACTTGAGGGTTATAGTGGACAGTAACCTGAATATGGGCTAACAACTGTACCTTTGTTGCAAAGAAGGCTAACGGCATCCTGGGCTGCATTAATAGCATTGTCAGCAGATTGGTGAGGCCACACCTGGAGTTTTGGGCCCCCTGCTACAGAAAGAATGTGTCCAAATTGGAAAGAGTCCAGTGGAGAGCAACAAAAATGATTTGGGGGCTGGGGCACATGACTTCTGAAGACAGGCTGACAGAACTGGGTTTATGTAGTCTAGAGGAGAGATGACTAAGGGAATTTGACAGTAGCCTTCAACTACCTGAAGGCTGGTTACAAAGAGGCTGGAACTAGACTGTTCTCAGTGGCGGCAGATGACAGAACAAGGAGCAATGGTCTCCAATTGCAGCAAGGGAAATTTAGGTTAGATATTAGGGAAAACATTCTCACTAGGAGGGTAGTGAAACACTGAAACAGGTTACCCAGAGGTGTGCTGGAATCGCCATCTATAAAGGTTTTTTAGACCAAGCTCAACAAGCCTTGGATAGGATAATCTAGCTGGGGATGGTCCTGCTTTGAGCAGGGGGTTGGACTAAATGACCTCCTGACATCCTTTTCAGCCCTCATTTTCTATGCTTCTACAGTTGTTCATTGAGGGACCCAGGGCCTTGATCCAAGCTCATTACAAGACCAGTGTCACTCCTGATCATGCTCATCAGTATCGTTTCACTTTCTTCTGCTCCACTCTGTCTGTATCTACCCATTGCCTCTTGTTTTATGCAGAGCTTGTAAGCTCTTCAGGGGCAGAGACTTAACATTTATAAGTGCTACCAGAATAAGAAATGGCAAATAAATATATTGTACCATTGCAATGTGGAAACCTCCACCTTGACCCTGGCAAACCTCCTGTAAGTCCGCCCTCAGCCTACCTGATGACCAGATACGTGAAATATCCAAAGCATAACAAATCACATATTGTGGCGAAGAGATTAGGCCAGTCAAAAATCAATACAAATTTATAACAAAGGCATAAAGACATTTACCACAGTTAAAATATTGCCTGTTTAGAATCTGACAGGCTCATTTCTGGCCAGAACAAGCTCAAGAGATTAAGAACAAAACCTCTAACTGGATCACCTCATTGACATTCAGCAGTCGTGCAGAGTGGAAACTTTTTATGTAAATTGTAAACAGGTGTTAAAAGCACCTGAAAGAGGAAATGAGCAGCAAGTTGAGAAGCAAAAGTGAGAACAGATACAACACCCCCCCACAAACAAACCCACTTCACAGGTTGGGCTGGTTTAGACTGCATGAAAGAGGCTGAGTAGGCTGCTGAAGACGTGGACAGGTCTAAAGACACTTTTGCTCTGTAGCAGATCCAGAAGGCTGCTGTATGGCCCAGAAGAAAAAAACCTGATGAAACTGTAATAGCAACTTGTCTTGATAGCAACTTAACTGTACTAGCTGCCTTTGCTGGAATTTGTTCAACCAGAAAATTTTGGGGGAAACAAAATTAAGGT